ATTTCAGATTACATTTTTTATGAAACAGGAAGATCTATCATAGCTGAGAAGGCCGAAATAATGAGGGAGAAATATTTTAATAAAACGTGTTGGGTCTGCATTACTTCCATGTCAGAAAGAAAGGTTTCTTCTATACTGATGGGTCATTTATTCTTCCTCTAAAGGAGAGACACAAAGATGAAACTGATGAACTTTTCCCGCCCGTTTTGTCTTTAACAGACAATTAAGACAGAGAAGATCAAAATGGATTATCATACCACGCAGACAACTGGTCCAACAGTAATACATCTCCAGGACCACAGATTTGTAACTCTCTTTTATCCCTCCTCTTTCTTCTTGCCTCTTTTCCCACTCTAAAGGCAATGCTAGCTTTGCGGCTCAAGGGGAGCCAAAAGGCTGGTCATCATTATTCAGTCACAGATGTCAATCTAACCTCCTTTTTTCTTGGTTTCTAAAGCAGTAGGCCACAATAATTTGTGACAGATTCTTTTACTGTAAGGTACAAAGAACACACGGAATAAAACATCTAGCAGCAGCAAGCTTCTCTGATCAGATGTGCTGGTACATGGGAAATACACTGTATGTAAAAACAAGCCCTGAGAGTTTAGACGAATGAAGCGGAAACAGGAGGGGAATTTTTTTTTTTTTTGTAGCAATAAGTGCTTTACTTTGTGTTGATTTAACTCAACTATTCCTTATGGATTTGATCATAAATGTTTGAATACAAGAAACACTGTATGTTGAGAATGTGAGCACTATATGTAAATAAAAACATATCTTAGAATTGTGTTATTATAATAGTTCAAAAGGGGGCAGAAAGATTTGTCTCTGAAGCATCTCTTGATAAAGAGAAAAAAAATTAAATTTACTTGGTCAGAGAACCATTGATTGGTTGCACGGCACAGTGAATAAATCATGAGATGGAGAGCCTTGACTTTATTCTAGACTCTGCCACTTTACATGATATGTGACCACGGGCAAGTCCCTTCCTTTTTCTGAACTTCATTTTCTTCATCTGTAAAACCTGATGATATTATAATGATATTTATAGATGATATTTAAAGTTTCTTCCTACTCTAGCATTCTACAACCAAACAGCAATTCCTATTCTAAAATTCTATATTTTAAGATCATTTCCAGGGCTAAAACTCAGTATTCTAACATTCTATGCTTAAAGGTATCTTTTAGAATTAACACATTATTCTCTAAAGACCACTCTAGTTCTGAACTTCTCTAGCTCTTAGAACCAAATGAAAATAGGCACTCAAGAAATATAAATTTCCTATTAAATTTCAGTATTTGTTTACTCATTTGCCAGTAGGCATAATTCACCCCACAAAAAAAAAAAGGAAAAATATCTGTGAACTCAGAAGCTTCCTTCCTAAAACCAAGTCAAACTTTCTTTAATGGTATCATAAGGTACATGTGCCCCCATCAATGGGAAAAGTATACTCCATAAATCATTTTCTAAATTCTAACCTAGTAATGACTTTTAAAAATGCCTTTAAAAAAATCAAAAAGAACAACTTTCAAATAATTCAAGCCTGTATCCCCCAACAGGTGGTCCCTACAATGCTTCCAATTATATTCCAGACTTAAGGTCTATGGCTATAAGAATGAGCTGGATCCCAACAAGCATATGCTGTTGAGAGGAAGTGGAGTGTGATGGAGAAGGCATTGGACTGGAAATCAGAAGATATGGACTCTAAATGTGGGTAAAAAACACAAACTTGGTAACATTGGGTAAATCATTCCTCAGATTCTTCCTCTGTGAAATGAGGGTACTAATATTATCACCTCAGAGGGTTGTTATGTACTTCAAAGCACTATATAAATGGTGTCTATTCTGAGTATTAGCATCTAAGGTAAAAAAGGCTAGTGTTACCTTAGATAATTCAAAGGACAAGTGAAGAGCCATTGTGCTATACTCAGTGTCCATACCAAGATTTGCATTGAATATGTTATAATGCTGTTCAAATATAAACCATATTTTTTTTAAATAGAACTTTAAAGCAAAAATGTTACAATCTGACATAACAGAAAGTCAAAAGACATTATTCCAGGTTACAACTACAGTATTTAGAGTTTCCTCCCCACCACAATTTTCTTCATTACTCTGACTATTGGATCACAGAAAGTTTAACTTACATACACACATAACACAAAAATAAACAACACTCTGATAACTCAAGGCTTACATTCGACTCAACACTGTTTTAAATTTTTTGTACTGTTTTGATAGTGTTTAAAGAAAAAAATTATTGAGATGTTCTCATAAAAATCTAATAAGATCTTATAGCTCAGAGGGAGCTTAAAACTGTTTCTCTCTCTCTCTTACTGTATGTATGTATCTATACATACACACACACACACATGCATGTGTGTCTGTGTGTGTACATGCCTAACAGCTGATACAGCACTTTCCTTGCAACATCTCTGGGAGAAAGAGAGTATAAGTACTACAAGCCTCATTTTCCAGATAAGAAAACTGAGATCCAGAGAGGTCAAGTGATTTGCCAAAGGTCATACAGCTACTAAATGGTAGACCAAGGATTCAAATCCAGCTCTTCTTAAACACAATACACTCTCCACAGTACAGTGCTGCCTCTGAACAACAACAAAAAAAGAATCTGGTTTGAGAGTGTTTGGAGACTGGAAGAGATAAGGGGGACAGAACACAAATGTTTCAATTCTGCTGAATCATGGACAAACTTGACTGACTGTTGTTTGTTTGATTTCCCCCCAGGATTCTTATATAAATATACTCCACCTAATGTTAGTAACTGGTTCCTTTAAAAAAAAAAAAGTCAGGTGAATCATTACAAAGTAATTTCAAAAGAATAATGTTTTATAAATAGTACAGATGGGTGATCACTAAATAATTTTGTAGTGAGATCTCAGATTGGTACAACAGGGTTTGGTACACACAAAATGATGCTAGTCACAGTAATGCTATGCCAGTACAATAGTACAATAAAATCCCATTTTACAGAATTACCTAATACCAATGATTTAGCTATAATATTAGTCAAATTATAACTTCTGCATGCATGTATGCATGCACACACACATATATATACACCACATATGTGTGCATATGTATATCAGATATACATATGTACAGATATCAATAAAAAAGCCTATTATACTTGATAATTTTACCCCACAACATCAATGTTCAACTACATTTAGGGTTCAACTATATTTGCTATTCCAACTCATTTTACCAATATCAAATTTCCAACTGTTTTCCCCATTGGCTATACATTTATAAATTTTTTTCATTTGTATATCCCCAGCTCCAAGTAATGTCTTACAGATCACAGAGCTTTAAAAATATTTGTTGAATTCAACAGAAATACCTCAGAAACATGTTGTATAAGACATCATATTTAGCATTGAATCATATTTAGTATTGAACCACAGAATGTTAGCACTAGGAGGGACCTACGAACAGATTATTAGTCCATAATATAACTAAGAAAGGTCATTAGAGCATAGAATGTTAGAACATAAAGGATTAGAGCTAAAAAGTCTAGATCATAGGTGTCAAACATATGGCCCACAACACTCCTGAGTGCGGCCTAAACTAGATTAAAATGTAACTGGGAAATATTTAACAAAATAAATAAAAATACAGTAAAATAGAGATATTACATTTTAAAACCAAGTCACTATGTGGCCTGCAGGGATCCTGATATACAGTTTAGTGGTACCAGTTTCTATTTGAGTCTGACACCACTGGTCTATATCACTTAGTCTAACTCCTTCATTTAACAGATGAGGAAAATGGATTTTAAAAAAGTAAAATGATTTTTCCAAAGACACAAAACAAAATAGGGGCAGAGCTAGGACTAGACATGCACAGGGCCTTTTGAGGCAATAGGGAAAGAGAAAAGGTTTATGAAGTTGTTTCATTAACAAAATTAAAGATGTTTTCCTAAATATATTCAGGCAATAATATCATAAAATTCAAATTAAAAGCATAAACAGAAAAAAAAAATTCTCTGGTGACTACCTTTTTACATCAAAGTAAAAGAGGTTGCAATTGTGTCCACAAATTCAGAACCTGGTCAAATTTTAAAGCGCCATGGATGTGTTAAAAAACAATGGAAATTCAGCATTGGCTGAGACGACCTCACTGGTGAAAGTGACTTTTCTGATTCTACTAAAAGAATGAACCTGACAACTTCAGATTTCATCAGCACTTCAGCTAAAACTCTCAACATAAAACCTCCTAAAAGACTTTTCCTTCACAAATATGTATCTTCATTTCAATTCTACTGCTGCTTACTGATTTTTCATAATCTACTTCAAATTTTGGGAAATGTTACAATGTAATTTTTAAGATGCCCACAGAATTTAAAACTTTAACAAACAACCCAAAGAGAATTTCATAATAAATAGCAAAGCACAGCATACTTCAAAGTAAAATGTCCTCAGAAATGTTCTACCTTTCTCTGTCTTTAATTAAAATATTAATAATAATAACTTCCATTTCTACAGCACTTTAATGTTTGAAAAAAGTATTCTTCATACCTATGTTATAAATTAAGGAATGTACCCTATTTTAATATGATAACGTTTGCAAAGCACTTAGCATAGTGCATGGCACACAGTAGGTACTAATATAAAAGATTATTCCCTTTCCCCCTTATTCCCCTTTTACAGATGAAGAAGCCTTGGCAAGATAAGCTGACCTGCCAAGAGTCACACAGCTAACACGCCTTGGAAAGTGTATTCAAAATCAGATCCCTTAACTTTACATCTAGTATCCTATCCACTATACTACACATCTATCATTCATGCCCCAAATCTAGTACTAGCATTTCCTGGTACTAGTTCATTTTTGGCTTCTTCATTGTTAGTTCCTAATCACTGCCTCTCTTCCCTTCTAAAAATCCACTTATCACTTTTGGTTTTTAAAAAATGGTAATAATGTGTTGAACAACCCTGAAATAAATTTTGTCATGTAAAAAAATTAATTACGCATTCCAAACCTGGTCACTGTAGTCCTCTGGGAATTGCCTCTGCACCTCAGGACCTGTAAATAATTGACAGATAATATTAATTGGCTTTGGATTAGTGAGCAGGCAGAGAATCACACATTAATATTTGATCAGAAGATGATAGCAACCCTGGCAGGGGATCCAAGGAGGGCAGATGAGGCTGCTATGTTGATAAGCACAAGGAAGGGCTCTTCAAGGAACTCCCTTTTACCCTCCTCCAGAAATACAAAAAAAGAAATTAAAAAAAAA